ATGGCCACCACCCTGGAAAGCAACACCACGGCCACGTTATTGACCCCCATGGAGAGCAACACCACCACTAACCCCATGGAGAGCAACACCACGGCCACACTGATGACCACCATGGTTGGCGACACCACGGCCAGGAAAGCAACCCCACGGCCACCACCATGGCAGGCAACACCACGGTCATGGAGACCAACACCACGGCCACACTGATGGCCACCACGGTTGGCAACACCACGGCCACCACCATGGGAAGTAATGCCACGGTCACACTACCAACCCCTCTGGAAAGCAGCACCATGGCCACCACCCTTGAAAGTAACACCACGGCCACACTGGTGACCATCATGGTTGGCAACACCACGGCCACCACCATGGAAAGCAACACCACGGCCATGGAGAGCAACACCATGGCCACACTGATGACCACCACGGTTGGCAACACCACAACCACTACCATGGGAAGCAACACCACCACCGTGGAGAGCAACACCATGGCCACCACCACAGTTGGCAACACCACAACCATCGCTCTGGCAGGCAACACCACGGCCACGTTACTGACCCCCACGGAGAGCAACACCACCACTAACCCCATGGAAAGCAACACCACGACCATGGAGAGCAACACCAGGGCCACCACCGTGGAGAGCAACACCACGGCCACCACCATGGAAAGCAACACCACGGCCATGGAGAGCAACACCAGGGCCACCACCGTGGAGAGCAACACCACGGCCACCACCATGGAAAGCAACACCACGGCCATGGAGAGCAACACCAGGGCCACCACCGTGGAGAGCAACACCACGGCCACCACCATGGAAAGCAACACCACCACCGTGGAGAGCAATAGCCTGGCCACCACCACGGCAGGCAACACTACGGCCATGGAGACCAACACCATGACCACACTGATGACCACCACGGTTGGCAACATGACAGCCACCACCGTGGAGAGCAACACCACGGCCACCACCCCGCCAAGGAACACCACAGACGTTCTCCTGGCCGACTCCACCACCACCTCTGCCACCCCAGCGCTGGCTCAGCCCAACACCACCCATGTGATGTCCCCGGGTGCCACCACGGGGTGCGCCGGGAACTGCACCAGCCCCGTCACCAAGACCACGACGATGTCCACCACCGCCACCGCTTGGTCTTCTTCAACCAACGT